CAAGTCGAATCCTCTAAACAAGACGTCTAACAGTCAGAGTTAAAATTCTTGAGTCAGAGTTAAAATTCTTGTGTTTATCAAGTCGAATCCTCTAAAAAAGACGTCTAACAGTCAGAGTTAAAATTCTTGAGTCAGAGTTAAAATTCTTGCACTCCTTGTGGTATAATTTGATATATCTTTATATTACTGCTGTTTACATTTTTGTTGTTGACCTTCTAGCCTATGATATATGTATTTATCACATGTTAAAGATATATTGTTGAATAATCTTTTCAGAAACCAATGTTAAACCGAAATAATTAAATTATTACATACCCTGCCACAAACACTGCGTATGTAAGAATTTAAGTCATTTAGTCAGTCTGGGTAAAGTTCATTTATTAGTAAATGTAACAACAATAAAAACATCAGTTTTTTTTTCTTTTAATACGATCGTTAGTATCAATTTACTGATGTCTTTAAACAGAGAAAAATGCTGGGATTTCCAAAAGTAGCAAAAAAGGCATTTCGATGTGATATAACTGCAATCCTCAATTTTCTGGTTTATAAACATGAAATGATGTTCTTCAAGCAGGAGATTTAGTTGTTTGGATACTGGGTTTAACCTTTATAGCGATTGTCATTAGACGCAGCTTGTACGTTGGTGCTAAACGTTGCCATAGCCGTGTTTACCTGTTTAACGGGAGCGTTGTGTTGTTAGTTGGCGCAAAACCATCTGTGCTCTAGTTACAGCGAGGATCGAACTCCGGATTTTAATATTGCAAGTCCGAAAGTAATATCATTAACAAACATGTCAATGGTTACACAAACAAGACCCTCTCCCGGTGGGGCAGCGGTCCGTTTACGGACTTGATATTGTCTTTCAGGTAATCCTTTTGATGCAAATACTGTTTGTCTAACAGTTTGCTGAATCACCACCAGAGGGAACTAAAGGGGGCGACCCTAACTGTGCCCCACGTGTGGAAACAAATTGACACCTCAAATCAACAAAATATTTCATGTTATCTTGTTTGACACGTGTTTTTATACCATTCAGCTCATTTATAGCTCCTACGACTAAAAAAATAGACAATTTAATAAAGCGTTACTTGCCCGGCATGGCCAGGTGGTTAGGACGCTGGACTCGCATTCTGAGGGTCGCGGGTTCGAATCCCCGTCCCACCAAACATGCTCGCCCTTTCAGCCGT